TTTTTGCTTAGGTGGGTAGACGAGCTCACATCCCACCTGGTGTTAAGTGGTTACTGGAGCCCATAGACATCTACAACGTGAATGCGCCACCCACTTCGAGATATGAGATCTAATGTTCAACTATAGTTACAATGGCTGCCCCACCCTTCATAAAAAAGTAGCTCTATAGCTTCATTGCATCTGTTGGACAATTTCGATGCTTTTAAAGTAATTTGATTTAAAGATATTATAAGTTTTCATAGACTACAAAAAATCAACTCGCATTCCGAATCCTACAGTCTCACGTTCACAAGGCACTTATCGCGTACACCGACGTATAAATATTCCTCGCAAAACATTTTAAAACTTAATGCATTGTCAATTACCCGCTTCGCAAAATCACGAAGCGTTTTAAGAGCAAAAGTGGCGCGTGCTGAATCGTGATTCTACCAACAACAAAAAAAAAACTCTTGGCAGCGAAATGCTGTAGCCGAGTTTGAAACGAAAAGAGAATAACCAATGGACGTACGTAGCTCCTCAGCGATCGTTATTGCAAAGTGCATTGTCGAAAAGCGTTGGAAATTTAGTATCCAAAACGTTTGCGAGCTGTTCCGATCCAACGTAAATCAACTTTAATGTTGGAATGTAAAATTTCATTAAATCGAACTGTTTTTTTGCTCCGTAAAAGGGAACGTTTGTCAAAATTACGCAACAGACACGATAAATAAGAATTAGTATACAAAATTAGTATAGGAACGACCTTTTTTATCAACTAGCAAGAACGTCTAGGGTAGTCCTAGCCATCGCAAAAAAAAAGATAATTAAAATAAAAAATTACTGGTTGTACGACCTCTTGTGAGTCCGCGCGGGTGGGTACCACCGTCCTGCCTATTTCTGTCGTGAAGCAGTAATGCGTTTCGGTTTGAAGGGTGGGGCAGCCGTTGTAACTAAACTTGAGACCTTAGAACTTATATCTCAAGGTGGGTGGGCTGTGAGCTCGTCCACCCAAATAAGCAATTTAAAAAAACGCGACATTAAAACTGATGTACTGATAATAGGCACAAGAAAACGAATTTAGAGCACATCCGATCATAGGGGCTGGGGCCAGTAAGCACTACAATGTTCATGACAGTGTCAGCCTCTGAGACATTTTCAACTGACATGAAGTTCTTAATGGAGAAATACTGGCTTCTTCAAACAATAATAGCTAATTTTTAATAGAAACAATAGGTACAACAGTGGTCTAGACCATATGTTCTTCAAACTTTATCTATGATCCCTACTCATAGTCAAAACTAAGAAGAGAGTTGGGTAAAATAAATAAGGTAAGAATTATACTGTTTTAGTTATCTCACCAATTAACCCTAACAGAAGACTTAATCAGAATCACATATCTTCTGATTAACAGCCCGACATTATCAAAGAGTATCTGGCTTTCTTCTCGACTCTCTGTATTCGCCAAGAAAGAGCTTAAAATTAGCGGTTATAAGACGCGTTAAAAGCCCTCTTATAGGCACCACCAGAGCGAGACCGCGCTTAAAGTACATTAAGAATTCAACCTCATATTTCCAAGTAGGTGGCGGCATTCATATTGTTTCTGTAGGCTCTGAGACTTTATTAAAACCGGATAATCTAGAGCAAAAGCATGAAGAAATCAAGGAAGATTTAGTTAAATATTTCTGATCATTTCTTCAAACCAGGCTTGTGGAGAGTATTAAACGGTAGCTAGCGGCTCGGCTCTGCCTCTGACATTGCTGATGTCCGTGAGCGACGGTAACCACTCACCACCAGGTGGACCGTGTGCTCGTCTGCGTACAGGGGCAAAAAAATAAATAAAAATAAAACTATTTCTTTAACTATTTCTTGATCTTTAACCCTTTGCGGTCTTAAGACTAATGAAAATTAATGTAAGACTATATGTCCAACACGTGTAGACACTGGACATAAAAGTGTTAATATTTTTACAGAATACCCTTTGAAATAATTGAGTAGGTGTTGAAAATTTTCCAATCATACTTGTCTTTGAAGGTAAATATTACTCGACTATGTTAACAGAGACTCTTCGAAGAAAGAACACAAAAGACCAACAAACAGCCCACGTGACACGTGGGTTGTTAACAACGTGAATGCCACCACCCACTTCGATACATAAGAAACTCTTAAAAGCAAAACGAATGAATGCTTCTCAGCGAATTTTTACGAATTTGATTTGATTGATGCTATTTCGTCACAGCCGAAGTCATTCGTGAACACGTGCTAAATACATATTTCCTTTAAAAAAATGGTACTTGCCTACATGATTTGAACAATAGCATAGTCGTAATCTATATATATAAAAATGAATTGCTGTTCGTTAGTCTCGCTAAAACTCGAGAACGGCTGAACCGATTTAGCAAATTTTGGTCTTGAATTATTTGTGGAGGTTCAAAGAAGGTTTAAAAGGTTAGATAAATATGAAAATGTTCGGATATAATAAAAATAACAATTTTGTTTTTCCTTTGATGTGTCCCCCGTCGGACGGATTCCTTTTGTTTGTTTTAAGTTTATTTTATACATTATCGATTGAGGCACTACGAAGTCTGCTGATTCAGCTAGTATTGAATAAAAGTAAATCAGGCGTCTCATTATTTAGACTGCGAGGACTTCAAATGGAAATTGCTGCAATTATCTAATTAAATCGATAAATCACTATTTATGGTGCGATAGCTTGTAAATAACAACCTCAATCTCATTCTCAGCACCAATAGTACCGTTCTATATCCTTGGATCTCCGTTGCTACGCTGAAAACAGACTTGGTCTAAACTTTGTCAGTTTGTCAGTAATACAAATAAAACTAATCAATTCATGTATTATCATTGATCCTCCACACGCGTGCAAGCTTTTATATTAATCGGACGTAGTAAATTTACTGAAAATTACCTTGAATTGAACACGGGCTTAACAAATTAATGTTCAAGATTGACTTACACGGTAAAAGAATAACATCGTGTAATTAAAATCAAAGCCGCAAAATTATAATTTGCGTAATTACTGGTGGTAGAACCTCTTGTGAGTCTGCACGGGTAGGTACCCTGCCTATATCTGCCTATAACGCGTTTCGGTTTGAAGTGTGGGGCAGCCGTTGTACTGTTAAAAGTAAGACCTTACATCTCATGTCCCAAGGTGGGTGACGGCATTTACGCTGTTGGCCGTGAGCTCATCCACCCATCTAAGCAATAAATAAAAAAGTCCCATTACATTTGATACAACTGAAGCTTATGAAAGCGTATAATATTTACAGCTTAAAAAACTAAATAAACCCCCTTAAATAGTAAACCGAACTAGCAATTATTTTCATCTTTTTTATCCCATTGATATTGGTCAGAATATCACAGCGAAGATATAAAATTATTTGTTGGCATTGGTCCTTGAGACGTGTGCAAATTTTAAGTCAATCAGAATTCTTGAATTCGGTAACAATGTCGAAAGAAACAGATACAAATGCCAAAGTATTAAAGGCATTTAAAAAAAAACATGAATTTCAAACTTTAAGAACTAAATAATGTATTATTCTGGGATCTTACTGGTCGCTTGCTAGTCTCATTCGTATCTTACAATTAAGATATTGGAAATTCGAATCAGAACGTGCCTTAATTTTACACGTATTATTTATTAATGGTGATTTGAAAATTGTCTGTTGAATAAACTTTACTGGTGTTAATATAAATAAACTTTACTGGTGAATAGCGTTTACTGCTGGTAGGACCTCTTGTGAGTCCGCACGGGTAGGTACCACCACCCAGCCTATTTCTGGCGTGAAGCACTAATGCGTTTCGGTTTGAAGGGTGGGGAAGCCGTTGTAACTATACTGAGAACTTAGAACTAATATCTCAAGGTGGGTGGCGTATTTACTTTGTAGATGTCTATGGACTCCGGTAAGCACTTAACACCAGGTGGGCTGTGAGCTCGTCCACCTATCTAAGCAATAAAAAAAAACACCCGTATATCGCTTAAACGATCGCGAAAACAAAAAACGTGGTAAGCTGTCTTGGACCAGAAACTTACTACCTATAACACAAAGGTAGCTTTTCAATACTGGTAGGCTTAAAGCTCTTTACGTGCAAAACAACGATCGTAAAAATGGTTATGCAAAAGTTTTCGAAAATCGCGATATAAATCTTGATACAATCATTATGAAATAATATGTATTATGAAAATTTAAAAAATCGTATTTTTTTAGGCAAATCCAAGTAGCCAAAACACCTTGTTAGATTAAATAAATAACACTAAGTTATACACAGTTATACTTTGTATTTATTTAATATTTAATATAGATGAAAATACAATGCGGAGTAGAGAGAGGAGTAGTGCCATAGATTATATATCATCTCATATTCACATTAGTTATAAGGCACCAAATTTAAAATTATTTCAACACACCTCAAGGCTAATTTCATAGCTTTGCACATGAAGTTGTCTTTTGTACCTTAGGAACTCGATAATTGCATAGAGGCGAAATTATGCAGGTATTAAAAAAGATCACATAAGAAAAAAATATCTTCTCTAATTTATTATTTTTTGGTCTCCAATAACCATCTTCGGCTTGGACAATTAATGTAAAATACCATACTAAGGATTTTTTATTGTCTTTCAATTCAAATGTATAAAAAGTAATAAAGGAAAAATACTATAAAGTTAAATCAAATATTCTACGAACACGTATTCCTAAAATATCTGAAGTTTTGATGTCACTATCGAAGTTTTTTCAATATTAACGTTAGGTGATATTGAAAAAACTGCTTGTTCTATCTGCATAATTTACCTTATCTCATGTAAATAATTGAACTTGCGAAATTTATTGAATTTTATTCACCAAGTCACTGACAGTTCAATCAATTAATCGTTAAAATACGTTCTAGAATACTAAACTACTCGTTTATAAGAGTATTTAATCTTCTTTCAGCAGCAGAGAATATTTAACATCTGCGAGTCTTAATGCACTAAGCATATGTTAATTAGAAATATAATTTCTCTACATTACCTCTCCAACACCATGATAGCCCATCCAAACACTATATCACTAAAGTCTTTATTCTAATGTTAACTACTTTGAAACACCACTTTTAGTATCTTAAAATCACTTTTTTAAAACGCCACTTCTATTAGTATTCTCGACAATAGCATTAAAAGGGTTAACTTCGAAGATTAACATCTAAAAAACACGGCGAAAATCCAACGTCAACGTAGCACGAATCTACACTTCCACACCGGAGCGCGGTCGCGCGTCAACTGAGAATTTTCAAATTTCGAGCATGAACCTAATTTCCATGTACGTAATGATGAGGTCACGTAGCGTTTCTTCATTTGGTTCCGATTCGTCTGCATAGATGGCGCTAAATTCAATTTGCCGATTAATCCTATCGTTAAAACAAATAATAAAACGTTCGTAAGTTGTACTAACAAATGCTTTAATTGCATTAGTACTATTTCAATCTGATTATTAATTTAATTTCATTCAAATTAAACTCTACTGAAAAATAAACGAATCATGTAAATTCGATGCTGACTATTTTTTTATTAAGCCATGATGTTATCTTATCATTTTCTAGTAAAATAAGTAGCTCTAACAGTAACTCTATAATGCTCATAAGCAAAGTAGGTTGATCTCTGACTTTCTTATGCATCAGCTCATCTTTCCTAGTCTTAAGACCGGGACCCACAATCACAATGTATCGTAATGTTTGCAAGTCCTATAACATAGCAGTATTATTTATTTTATTCCTATTTACATTTCAATGACCGTGGATTGCAGTTGGATTAATATGAAATATGATGTAGTGATGCTACGTTTATCGTAGCAATATTCTACGAATAGCTACGAATCTTCTACGAGAAAACGTGATTTTCGTAGCTTTTTTTTTCCCTTCCTAAGCTGAGAGCCTTGAGAGGCTATTTCAGCGTAACCTTAACGTTTGTAGGTGAGCTCACGGGGCTCAAGCCTGATGACGTTGCTAACACGAACCCTAGCAAGAGCCGTGCTTCGCAGAATCTACCACCGGATCGGAAACGCTACCCACTGAGAAGATCCGGCGAGAAACTCAGTGGGCTGTGTCTGGGAGTTAATATACTCGTCGAGCCCTTCGTCGCAAGCGACGGGTTCGACGAGAACGGTGACCGGTGCTTGAAGTACCTAGAAGCACCGTTAGTGGATCGGGAGGATCCGAGATGACGTGTTTTGGGCGACGTCGACTGCTTTCCATTCTGTCCGCAGGATCGGGAATGTAGTTACCGGCGGCCACGATGAGAGGGTTCTCGTATCGTGCCGCTTTATCGAAGTGGACCTTTCGTAGCAGTAATACCATATTTATTACTTTGAATATCAGTGATGTAGTACCAAATTATCATCAACATCGGTATCGGCAGATCGGTTTTCCCAGTATTCATAGATTTTACAAAATAAATACGCCAAACTAAATAGACTAACAAACCAAGAATTGGGAAGAAATTTGAGAGTGCTCTTTGGCTCCAAACGAATTCCCTGTATTATGGGAACCACATATATAAATAAATGTACATTTGATTATATAGACGCTAACAACAACGGAAGTAGTGGGTAGAGCATTCTAAAAGTTACACTTCAAAAGTAGACTACCACAAACTATAATATATACATTGTTTTTATTGCTTAGATTGGTGGACGGCCAACCTGGTGTTAAGTGGTTACTGGAGCCCATAGACATCTACAACGTAAATAGGCCACCCACCATGAGATATAAGTTCTAAGGTCTCAAGTATAGTTCCAACGGCTGCCCCACCTTTCAAACGGAAACGCATTACTGCTTCACGGCAGAAATAGGCAGGGTGGTAGTACCTACCCGTGCGGACTCACTAGAGGTCCTATCACCAGTAATTACGCAAATAATAATTTTGCGGGTTTGATTTTTATTACACGATGTTATTCCTTCACTGTGGAAGCCAATCGTGAACAATTGTTGAGTACGTATTTCATTAGAAAAATTGGTACCCGCCTGAGATTCGCACACCGGTGCATCGCTCAACAAGAATGGACCGGACGTCTTATCCTTTAGGCTACGACGACTTAAAAATATATAAAAATATACAAAAGTTCAGGCAGAATTCCGGTCTGAATGGTGGGGTATTCATTACAATAGTGTTATTAGAAACTTGGACCTTATTGTTGAAGGCATTTGTGAAGGACTCCAATGATCACATAACGTTGACACCAAAATATGAAGCATCAGCTTGCGACAAAAATGCGACAAAAAAATCCCAAAGTCTCCTATATCCCACAAATACAGTCACAAGCAAATTTGCGTTATTCGCATGTTTTATTTGATGTTTATACAAAACGTATAAATGAGTCCCAAGTCCCGTGAAATTCACTAGAGGCTCTCATATAATTTGAGCTTTAGCGCGAAACGATAAAACTGAGAATCCAATAACGTTAAATGTGTGATACGATTTTTTTTTGTGAACGTTCCTTGGTTAAATGTAAAAAGGTTTTCGCGTATTTCCTGATCACTGCTGACGGTTACCGACTGTCATTATGTGTGATTATTCCGTATCTCTTACCAGATATTCCGGAAATGTTCATTGTGAATTAAAGGAAATTTTGTTAGCTGGATTTCGAGAGGTGGTATTGTGTGTTGAATTAGATAACTATTTTGAATAAGCCACGAGAAACTAGTAAAAGTAACATTACAAAAAATTGTTATGCGAATGTTTAATTAAATTAGAATAACAATTTGTATTTAAAATCACTAAATCAAACAAACACCAAATACAAAATATATATTGTGATTCAATAATAAAAGAATATGTTTTAAGTCGTTATATACGTCGTTTAAGTGTTTGAAACATAGTTAACTCATCGACATATTTCGGACCCAAATAGCAATGCAGAGTTCGCTGGGAGGAGAGTAGAGTTTTTTAAAGTTTGAGGTTGAGAGGCAATTTTAAAATACACCAGTGGCCCGGCTCATGCTACCCAGTTTTTCATATATAAAGTTTCACAGTGAATAATATAACAAATTGGGAACTCAATCAATTCAAAATGAAATTATTATTATTAAGGCTTTTACGAAATTGCCTTTTAGTATACAGTCGCTTATTAAGTCATTTATTTATAAGTATTTTTTAAATGCTATCAATCAAAATTTGCACCCGTTTAATACCATCGTTCCATTTTTAGAAGCGTAGTGGTATTTTTGTAATGCTCTTCTTGAAAAATATAAGGTACGACCCATACGGTCGAATAAATTTATAAAAGACATTTCATACCGCCTCTCAGATATTGAATCTATTACTACCAATATTTTTTTTATTGCTTAGATGGGTGGACGAGCTCACAGCTCAGCTGGTGTTCAGTGGAGCTCATAGACATCTACAAGGTAAATGCGCCACCCACCTTGAGACATAAGTTCTAAGGTCTCAGTATGTATTAGTTACAACGGCTACCCCACCCTTCAAAGCGAAACGCATTACTGCTTCACGGCAGAAATAGGCGGGGTGGTAGTACCTACCCATGCGGACTCACAAGAGGTCCTACCACCAGTAATGACGCAAATTATAATTTTGCGGGTTTGATTTTTATTACACGGTGTTATTCCTTCACCGTGGAAGTCAATCGTGAATATTTGGTACGTATTTTATTAGAAAGATTGGTACCCGCCTGCGGGATTCAAACACCGTTGCATCGTTAGATACGAATGTCCGGACGTCTTATCCTTTAGGCCACGACTTCAGAACGACTTTCGATTTTACGTTTTCTAAGTACGACTGTGTAAAATTCATTAAAAGAGCTCAATAATTTGTGTTTACACCTAAAACGTTCAGTGCGGTCGTAAATCAAAGATCAACAATGAGATTGGAAACGTAGCCTTGGGCCAAAGTCTGGGTTGCCTCACGTGGATTCAAAAAGGAACTATTAGTATGGTCTAAGTGTTAAGTGAAATCATCGTTATTAATCAACATTAGATTGTAGAATTATTTTTAATAAAACCACAAAGAAAGAGCCTAGATTTAAATTGTTATTGTAACTTTTTTACTGGTGGCAGGACCTCATGTGAGTCCGCACGGGTATGTACCGTACCACCACGCTGCCTATTTCTGCCGTCAAGCAGTAATGGTTTGAAGGGTGGTGGCGAGAATCTCAAGGTGGGTGGTGGCGTTTTCGTTGTAGATGTCTTTGGGCTCCGGTAACCACTTACCACACCAGCTACACCAGTAGGGCCGTGAGCTCGTTCATACATATATGCAATAGGTAATTTAAAAAAAATCATTACGAGTAATTGCTCGCTTTGAATGCTATCATTATTGTTATCAACATACAGTCATACACTGTTGGACGCAGACTTCTCCCAATTCACACCACTGAATCCGGTCTTTATCTCTTCGCATCCATTTTACAGCTACCCATTGAAATTTAATCGCAATATACACGTGTTACATTGAATATAAGTTCGAAGTTTCCGTGTTTTAATAATAACGGGGGCTCCGTCCAAACAAGAACGTAAATGCTTCATGACGATGATGAATCAGTGGTCGTGTATTTTGAATTACCTATTAAGATCCTATGACAAAAAACGCTAATAAATTAACTACAAATATTTTTTAACTTGTACCACACCACAAAATTTTATTATAGGAATCGTTTTCAAGCCATTCAAGATTCTAAACCAAAGCAATAGGACTTAATTGTTGAGTCCAAGCGTGTACATTCGAAATTCCTTTTATAACAGACACCATTAGAATTATAAATGATTGAAATATTAAATTTTGAATGCATTAAGTCTTTGGTCTAATGATATATTTAATCAAATTTATATTAATATTAAAACATAGAGCACAGTTGTAATGCAGTGTCTAGTGATGCGATTTTACCGGTGATTAAATACACAAAAAAAATGTTATTTTGTCTATTAAAATACATTCTTAACATATGCGATTTTGAGAGTATTAAGCGGTAGGCAGCGGCTTGNAAAAAAAAAAAAGAAAAAAAAAAAAAAAAAAAAAAAAAAAAAAAAAAAAAAAAAAAAAAAAAAAAAAAAAAAATGCTCACGAGTAACTTCGATCATGAAGGAATACCGTCGTGTTGTTGCATAAAAAGGAGTACATTTGGGAAGCTTATTTACAGCAGTACACTTCAGTTGGCTGATGATGTGAATGATTAAAATCGAACAATATTAATTATGGCTAGTGGTCACCCGGTAGTCCAAATTCGACCATAATAATAATT